CATTCAGGGGGAGTTAGCCTAGGGGTGATTGAGCTCGTAGCCCATTCCTTAGTGAGTTATGTGAATCCGGCTAATGAATCACGCTTCGCTGTGCGCAATGGCTAAGATTGGCTCCGGAGTCCGCACAAGGAGCGTGCCGGTCTTCTCCCTTTGGGGAAGTTGGGCGGCTGCCCGCCAGCCCCCCCAGCCCGTTCCACCCGCCACTGGCATCGGAGCCAAAGGAACGGCTTTCTGGGGAGGGAGCCGAGGCTGCCGCTCCCCTTTGGCTTCCTCGGGGCGGCTCCCCATTGGCTGGCCAGCTGGAGCACGTGGCGACCGGGCGTAATTGGCAGGCTGAGCCCCAGGGGAACGAGGGGGCGGAGGGCACTGAGTCATTCGCTAACCGACTTAATCCCTGCGAAAGGAGCAAAACGCAAACAGCCGCGGAGTGGGACGGGACGGGAGTCCAGCGCCGGAGGGAACCTCATGGAGAGCTCGAGCTCCCGGCGGCTCCTGCTGGGGCTTTGGGTCGCCTTCTCCGCGCTGAGCGTCATCAGCGGTAATGAAGCAAGCCGGGAGGCCCCGTGATTTATTTTTACTTTGGCTCTCTGGTGGCGCCCGGGTCCTCGAGCGCGAGAGAAGCGGGTGGGGAACTTTCAGCGCGCGCGCGTCCGGGCTTCCCCCTGTTCTCGGTCCATCCTCTCCTACTTGAGCCCTGCCGCGGCGCTTCGGCCGCGTTCCCGCGGGGTGCTGAATCCGGTGGTCAGCTGAACGCGTTTTCTGCTCAGGCGCATTATATGGCGCTTTAGAACCACCAAAGGTGCTGGCTTCGCTCAGGACGTGAAATCAGTCATCTCCGAGGTTAATGTTTCCATTTTGCCTGTGAGGGCAAGCTGTTAATTAAGTCTTTCCTGATCTGGCTTAAGGATGATGTGCAGATCCTGCTTTGCCAGAAGCAGTAGAAAGCCTGGTCTTTGTATCTTTAATGCCTGTTGTTAGGCTCTGCCTTGTGGTGGGTGGTGACCCCCAACTAAAATGAAGATCTTGCTAGGGAAGCATGCTCAAATTGTTTGGGGTGAAAACTTGTTACTGAATAAATTCTTTTTCTGGGTATGTACACTACCTGTACCCTGATCTAAGCCAATCGACTGAACTTCCCAAATCCAAGCTACAGAAGCCCAACCAAACTTAACGCTAACCAAGTGAATGAGCTGTTAGGTTTGTAGTTGCTAGGATAAGCTGTTGTGTGAGTCCTCGCAGTGTGCTTTGCACAGTCTTGTTTTTGGTTCAGCGTGCTTAGCCCATTATGACATCTTTAAGAAACCATGGTTAAATGTAATTTGGTATATGTGAATGCAGCTAATGAATCAGAAGTGAAACAGGGTTCTTTGTTCAGGAACTGGGATCACTGTTTTGGAGCTAAGTGACTTTTTTTTCTTCCACTGAGGTGTTAACGACAGATCTGACTTCTTGTTTGCATCTTAAACAATCATATTGTTTGCTTGACTTGGGCTTAGAGTGTTGTGTGAACTCAGCTGTTGTGGTTTGTAAGTTGGTATATCACTCTGATCCAAGATGAACAACCTTTTGATGGCCAAGACCCAAGCTTAGTATAAGTGGGACTGTGGCTGCAAAATAGATGGAGCCACATCATACAATGGGCGAGAGTGAAGTTTGGGGTAAATCTGTGGTCTACTAATCTGGGATATATGTCCTGTACCTTAAAGCAGGTAATACTGTGCTGAGTTCTGAAGGCCCCCAAACAGGAGACTGGGTCACCCCTGCTCTGGGCCTTAGAGTAATGTCTGAGTCCAGGCATTGGTGGCCATGGGGCAAACTCTGGTTCAAGCCAATCGTGCCTTAGCATGTTGGGTGAACTCAGCAGGCCTCAGTGCAGGGGTCTGTTGCAAAAAGAAATGTGGGAAGGCAGCTTGACCCAAACCAGATGGTTACCCCATTTGGCTCAATACTGTTTATTTTTAGCAGAGTTTGCAATGTGTTAGCTAAAGGATGTTTGGCTACTTTGTGCTTCAGTGTGGTGTGCAAATCCAGGCATCTGCCTTCATTCTGTCGTTCAGTTATCCTTGGATTAATGTGCTGTGTGAAAGCAGCCGCTGACTAAGAAGTCTTTGAGGTTGTCAAAACAATGTCTTACATGGGGCAAAACCAAGGACCTTTGGTGAGTGAAACATGCCTTACTGCTAAGCAGCGCATCCCTCTGGGCTTCATCGCACTTGAAAACCCAGGCATTTTGCCTTGATATGCACTTCCCTGCTGTGGTTATTGAGAGTGAGAAGGAACTCTGTACATAGATGAATGCATGCTTTTTGTTATTCACGGAGAAGCCGTGTTACTGAGCATAGAGGCTGCACCTGCAAGCTTGGCTGAAATGAAGTTAACACATTCGTTTAAATGTGTGGTTGGTTGGTTGGTTCGGCCTCACTGCTGTTTCTTATTGAGGTGGCAGCTTTAAAGTGAGAAAAATTGTGTCGTTGGACAGGGACAATCCTGGATCAGAGGGAAGTTCCACTGTTATAGAAACCCGAGATTTAACGGCAATCCCTTTGAGATGCCTAATAGGCGAATCTGCAGTGGCTAGTCAGCACTCATTTTTTCCTAGCCATACTTAGGCTAGTAATCATTTCTCTTCTCAGTGACAGCTTGCCACTTTGAACGGTTGCCAATATGCAGCATATAATTTTCTGTATGTGTTGGGAACAGGGTGTTTTTTCCGGTGAATAAAGCAAATAGGATTGACAACATCCTCCTCCCTTTACACACTTCAGCAGGGATCAACATGAGGTTGACCTGAAGTTGGATAACTTTGCGGTTAATGTTTTGGACACGGATTGGAAAAATTAGACGTCAGTTTCCAACTTGGCCCTAAAGCATCCTGGTTATTCCTGGGCCAAGCTGCTATCTGACAGCTTCTTGGGGAACATGAGGCTTGCCTTTGGGTAATGCTTGTAATGCTTGTAATTCCAAGTTTAATGAAATATGAATATTTTGAAAGTTCCTGAAACTCAGAACGCTTCTATAATAACATTGTTCCAAACTGAGATGTGCAAGCAGGTTTTTCCCCCTCCCTGAATGTCAGCCAAGCATTAAGTCAAAGATTGGGACCCATTTCTGTTTAGAGAGCCAGTGCACCCCATGAATGGTGTTGGACCTGGGTTTGAGTCTCTGTTCAGGTGTATGAAGCTTAGTGCCTGGCCCAAGGCTAGTTAATATCAGATTCATCTACCTTGTAGGATTTTTGTGAAGACAAAATAGCTGGGTTCATACATCGCTCTAAGTCAGGGCTTCACAAACCTTGTGCTTTCATTGGGGATAGGGATGGGCAAAAAAAATACACCCCTTTTAATAAATTAAACTTTTACACTTGGTATCACTGGGATTATCAGGTTTTTGAGGTACTGCAGCTGCCCCCCCCCACTTTCTCAGGCAAGCATGGTGAATTTTTGCAGCGTTCCCACTTGGAGGCTGTGACCTCCCTCTACGTTGCTTATCCCCCAGTGATCCTGACCCATA